TAGGAAGGCCATAGAAATAGTTATCCATCAATAAGTCAAACAATATTACAGGTTAATTATTAACTACTGATGGCAAAAAGAATTCTTACTTTTGAGACTATCTTGTATTTTAAAGAATGCTAGAGTTTGAAAGGCTCTATCACTAACATTTCCCTATTTGGTTTGCTTACATAGTCCCGTGAGATGATTGTGCAAGTATGCTTACATCCCTCTGAGAGAGAGGGAAACTGAGGCTCAGAGTAGTTAAGCAGTGGATGCCAGTCTGCATAGTAGGTAGGTGACAATGCTGAAACATTTGTGGTAGATTTTCAATATGCCTTTGTTGCTATTATTTCTTCTAGAAAGTACCAATCTGAAAGAATTTCCTGTCCTCTTCTCCTCCTTCAGTTTATAAAAAGCTAAAAGCCAAACAATTAGGTATTTGACCAAAGAAAGGTCAACAGGAAGATAGGTCTCTACTTGACACTTGGCTGGCATTTTTTTGGATTACTTCACAATTCCACACACAACCATAAATCACCAGGTAATTAGATTGGACTTTGAAATACAGGGTGCTTTAAAACATCCCTGACAGGATTGCTAGGGCAGAGATAAGGGCCTGAGACCAGCTAGCTTCTCACCAGTGGTGGTAATGAGCCTTGAATAAAGGTGGGCAGCAGGAAAAGAAAGGTATGCAGAGTTGCGAGCACTTCAGAGGTCCTGCATTTGACTGCTGGGTCAATTAACAGGGATAATATACTCTCTGGAGAAGCCGTAAACACAGAGTTCTAGTGTCCCACAGCAAGTGTAGGTGGGAAACCTATGAAGACACAAGTTTCCACTGACTGCCAGTTAGAAAATTGCCTCAGGTGGATTGGGGTCCATTGATGACATACGCTTGATACAGTCCTATGCTCTTCAAACTTTTTTTTTTTTTAAGCTGAAAAATCCTTTCAACAAATGAAAGCACATGTGGAAACTTGTATATTTAAATAAACCATACAGATTAATGGGTAGCTGTTCTGTTGAATTGAGAGTGGGGGAATCCTACCTGCTCATCCACCCCCTCTCCATCTTCTTCTACTTCTCAAGAAGCTCCTGGAAAACCCTAGTCCCCCATTTCTCCAAGAATACAGTCTGAAAAATCTCTCATTACTCTTTTATAAATTTCCACCACTTTTAGCTACAAAATTTTAATTGACTACCTGCTATAAGAAAGTCTCTATGGCAGTTATATGAGAAACACAGGATTTTTGGTGTCTTAACTACCTCATTACGATGCTGAAAGCCAGTTGACTTGGCATTCTTCTGGGTCAACACTGGTCCCATGGCTGAACAATGTGAAATTACTGTCAGGTCACTTCACCTGTCCAAGAATGCTTTCTCTTTAGTAAAATAGGATGAGAAATAGCAAAATATCAGGCACTTAAAAGCCTGATATTTTGCTCTTCAACCCCTTCCTTTCAACTTGCAGGAATCTACTCATGTGAATATATATGCTCAGGCTAGGAGCCTTTAAAAGGGAAACATATTCAATATCTAAACTCTTTTGCTGAGATGAGGCCACG